GCAGGTCGGTACCCGGAGTTCCTCACTCAGGGTTCGCTTCTGGAGTTGCACCTTCCACGCAGCTGTTTCCTGTTCTTGTTGTTTTGTTTGCCCTCATAACCGAGCTACATCCCAGTCCTTTAGTTTATTTTCACTTCACTTTTGTTTTATTTTGAGGCAGGGTTGCACTAAGTTGCCTAGCTGGGCTCAAACTTGCAATCCTCCTGCCCCCGCCTCCCACTATGGAGTTTACATGCCTGTGCCCCACGCCTGGCTTACTCTCTACATTGGACAGGTACATGTGTCTGCCGCGATGGTATTCTACACAGAACATCCTCAAAGCTGTGCTTGACCAAGCCACCCTCCTGCCACCTGCCCCCGACAACCACGTGCCTTTCTACTATCTCCATGATTCTGTCTGTTCCCAAATATCATAAATATTGTATATATTTAAGGTACAAATGTAATGTTGTGGGACATGTATGATAACGAAACATTTTCCTATAATAAAGTTAACACATCATCATCTAGCCTAGAGGGCAGTGGCTAACATACACTCCAGGGGGATCCCCAGTGCAGCACAGCTCTGACCAACCCTCATGCTGTATTAGGTCTCTAGACTTGCCCTCAGCCTTACACATCCATGGGCCCTTCCACTCACCCACCCTGCCCCTGGCCCCCCAGTTTTATTCCCTTCCTTGAGTGGGTTCTCCGGACACCTCCCAGCAGTGTCCCAAACACAAGCCCCGGCTGCAGTGTGCAGAAATGACCAGGAAAATTCAGTTCTGCTCAGGACCACGGAGCCAGTCATGGACTGTAACAAGCTGCACAGCTGGTTTCCGACCCTTCATGTTTTGGAATAAACTTTAGAAATCAATCAGAATACCTATGGCAGGGTACACAGGTGCACAGGTACCGGGACGGGACAGTTCCTCTCCTCTTAGCAGACCGGTTCCCTCTGCCGTGGGGCCCAGCTCGCCTCAGCAGTGTCTGGACAGTGTACCTTAGGTCCGCTGCCTCCTGAGATAGCCGGGCTTTCAGCTCTGCCTCTCTTCTGCTTTCGGTAGGCAGCATTTCTTCTGTTCTGTTCTTCCCTCTCTGTCTTTTAAGGATATGAAGAATTCGATGTGAATGGGACAGTGTCCCAGAGATTGTCGGGCTCACCCGGGCTCACATGTAATCTCCTTTTGCAGCGGCACGGTGAACCTGGATTTTAAAAATGCCGTGCTTGTCCCTGATGCGGTCTCACTGTGGTGGGCCTTTGTCCTGGTGGGGGTCAGTCTTGCTGAGGTCCTTGAGGGCTTGGATGCCCACTTCTCTCTCTCTCAGGCTGACTCTCTCTGTGAGTAGCACAGCCTCTTCCTCCTTCCTTCCTAACATTGAGCCTCCTGGGCTCAGCGGTGCGGATGGGTGCTGTGGAGTGAGCCGTGCTGAGGCTGAAGCAGGAGGCTCCATTTAGGGGCAGCAGCTCCTCCCAGGTGCAAGCCCAGTCACTGTGTGAGCCCCAGGGGATGTGGAGCGGAGAGTTCTGGGTGCCCCTGGTGGGTTCTCCCTTGTGCCTGACATCGTGTCTCGTGGTCCCACAGGGCCTAACCTCCACACAGCCCCGCTGTGCTCCGTCCGCTTCCCACCCCAAACCCCTTTCCAGCCTCACTACTTGGAGCAACATCGGACTCACCCAGGAGTACCTGAAACCAGAACTTCCCGCAGCCTCCCCCGGGATACTTGGCTGCCAGGTGTCCCTTGCCAGGGATGTGCCCACTCCACCTCACACCCACAGGGGCACTCCTCCTGCCCTCCCCAGCGACACAGAGCTGAGTCCTGAATACTGAATTTCCCAGTCCTCCCCCAGTGCTAGGGTGAGGCTCAGGCCTTTTTCACACCAAGCACAAGCTCATGTCCTCACTGGCTGGCGGGAAGGCGGCTCCTGGTGGGACCAAGGGGCTAGCTTGGGTCTGGTGTCCTCATGTACTGTGCCAAGGCGTTGTGCCTTCCAGCAGCCAAGGGGAAAAGCGTAGATCTGGCCATTTCTGGGTTGCTTAACATGGAAATTTTCAGCACCAAGGCAGAGAGAGGAGCGAAATGAATCCCTGTGGCCCCACCTCCCCTTCCAGGACCAGTACTGCCAGCTGCATGGTGGCAGGAGGCGTGGTGGTGTGGATTCTGTCCCTGCTGGGCTCTCACATGGGTCAGGCTGTCCATGCAGTAAACTGTGCTGCCCTCACCAAGGAGGGACTTGAGTGTCTACTGCCCCTCTTGTTTCCGAGGGACTTCTTGTCCTGTCATGCAGAATTGTTTTTAAGCTCAGTGTTTCGCATCATGTACACAAGGAGAGCTATTACCCAAATCCACTTTTGTATGATTCATTGATAAAACCAACTTGCTGATGGGCAGGAGCTATTAAACTTCGGTCCTGAATGCTGAGATAGGAGTTTTGCTAATAGCTGCAGTGCTCCCGCCCTCCGCCATATCTTGGGGTTCTGTGTGGATGAGTGGTGTAGTGTTGCTCCTGGCAACAGTCTTCAGTCAGTCCTGTGTCTAGCCTGTTCCTCTTGTGATCTGGAGAGTCTCTTCAATTAAAAGGATCTAAGTGCTTAGAGAAAAAGCTTGCAGAAACTCTTCTCCCCCCAGAGTTGAAACAAAAACTGAAATCTTATGGGGCGAATCATTTACAGGAGATTCAAATGCAAATGTATTCACAGCAAGGGAAATTTAAATTTGACTTTGACCCAAAAGAAGCAAAACAGGTCACATCATTTAATATGCTGGTAGATTCTAAAGAGTTCAAGTTTTGTGTGCAGTCATTTGCTTGCGTATACATTGACTTTTATTTCTATTTTCAAATACAAAGAAGATACTATATCAGAATCAAAGGTTTGCAGAAATCCTATCTCAGGATTCAAGAGGCCCTAATTTGAAAGTCATGGCACTGTCGTGGGTGAGGCTGTGAGAGCTCTCTTCTCCGCTCTCCTGTGCTGTCACCTGAAAGATGGGGTCCTGCAGAGGATCCTCACATCCTGACCCCTCCTCTGCTGGGGCTTCCCTCTGAGCCTTTGCATGGCAGAGCGTGGGCGTGTTCCTGTGGCCTCTGCACCCTGTGCAATCCTGTAGTGATGACTTAGCCCCCCTGTCTCCCTACAGACTTCGTCAGTTTTGTTTCCTATTGAAATTAGATCGTACCTGCCGTGTACACTTTTCCTCTTGAGTTTCTGGTGGTTATTTTTCCTGATTACATTTTTACAAATGTGTCTTGTATTGACAGTTTTTTTCAGTCTGTTATTCTCTCTCTCTGTATCTCCATCCTCCCCCAGGGACCCCAGATGAGCCCCTCCCTGCCTCCCTTCCCCCCTTTCTCCTCCTCTCCCTTCCCTGTCCTTCCTTCCTTCCCTTTTCCCTCCCTCTGTCCCTCCTGCTCTTAGGGACCCACCTTTTCAGCCCACTGCTCCCTGGGCAATCACTGCTCCCCATCTCTGGGATGAGTCTGAAAGTTTGCTTCTGTCGCAGTTTTCATCCTCTTTTTTCAGAAGCTGATCAGGTGCTTGTCCGTGAGAGCCACGCTCTTGAGGCCTTAACGCTCTTCTCTGCCTTTGTGCTGGGATAGTTTTCTGGTTTAGGAAACTTGGTCCCGTGATTGTTTTTTTGCTCTCCCCCTCCCTCGCGCCCTGTTGTCTCCTGACTGAGCTCTGTTGGTGGCCTGAGCTCTCCTGGCCTGTCATTTGTGATGTGTGTCATTTGTGTCCTACTGGTTGCCTGCCTCTGTGGTTTTTACAGACTCCCACCATTTACACAAAATTATTTCATCAATCATGGTTTTAATTCACCTGTTGCTCTCTCTTTTACAATTATAATACCCCCTTGTATTAGGGGCAGGACGTTACTTTTTAAAGAAGTGATTTTTTTCATTGTTTTCTTGAACAATTGGTATTTGCATCTTTTAAAAGTGTCTTTGATTGTGTGTCCCACGGCAAAAGCCAACCAGAAGTATCTTGTACTTCGGGCTTTCCACTGAGAGGACCTTGGGTGAAGGCAGAGGTGACTGCACATGGTCCTACCTGAGCTTCATAAAGAAGGTTTGTTTTCATGTAGCTGTATGTTAAGGGCACCTGGAATTTGTTTTAATTTAGTGTAGACAAACATACAGACACACAAATTACTGTCAGGGAAGAAGCTTTTATTTCCTAAAAGAGACCCAGGATGCTGTGCAGGGGCGAAGGGGAAGCCTTGCCCTGGTTCTGATGCAGAGGCGACATGGGGGGACGTGGGCAGCCGTCTTGGTGGCGGTTGTGGGGAAGAAACCAGACAGGCAGGCAGCGAGCAGGCTCCCATGTGCTCGTGAGAGTGGCTTCAGCAGCCTGTTCCTGGGGACACTGGGGCAGTGGATGGTGGCTCTGGGGGCTGGAGTCCCAGAGCGTGTGTTGGGGCAGGGCTGTAGACTGACCGATTTGCAGTGAAGGAGCTGGTGACTCCTCAGGAACTAATCCCCGGAGTGAGGAGCTGTCTCTTTAGGTTCACCAGGCTTCAAAGCATCAGGATATAGACACTAAAGGCATGGTTAACACGAGCTGTTAATTTTAATTATCTTTTCTTTCTGGTGCGCGTCTGTGTGGCTTTATCTGAGTTGCAGTGCCTGGCTGCAGGAGGTTTGAGCTTGGGCAGAAGAAGGGTTCAGGATGTGTGAAACTTGCAGTTAACTCGCCATCCACGCCCAGCTTCCTGTCATCACCAACGGTGCCCCCTCTGAGTTGGTCCTGATGCTCAGCCCTGCCCTGCCCTGCAGTGTCTGTCCCTGAGCATGTAGGTGGTAACTGCAGTCACATGTTGGGCCTGGTTCAAGATCCTGGGTGCAGAACCCCGGCCTCATGGGGCTCACAGCGTGGCAGTGTGCTCCTGCCCACTCCCAGGTACCTGCAGGAGCCCCTGCAGAGTTGCTGCCATTCTGAGCATGCCCACAGCAGATTCGAGTGCCAGGGAAATCCACAGCCTTACAGCCCTGGCTCACAGAACCCTTCTCCTGTTTGTAGCGCTGATGAGCGGTTTGACGCCACCTTCCACACCAACGTCCTGGTGAATTCTTCTGGGCATTGCCAGTACCTCCCTCCAGGTAAGACGGGCTCCCTGTGTCTCCTTCCAGTTAGAAACTTCAGGGAGGATGAGAAGGAGTCCCTGAGGGTGGGCTGCGCTGTGCTGTGTACACCTCAGGGCGCTCTCCTGGGCGCCTTCCTGTGTGTCCTCGTCTGTCATGGAGTCGTGACTCAGACCGTGTTTGTCAATGCGTTCCTGTGTTGTTTGTCTTGTAAAGTCAATCTACAATTAAAGCGAGTGTCTCATGGCTAATTTATAATTCTTTCAGCTCACAAGCCAGACAGGCTTCCCATCTCCACAAGCCTGAGGACCAGACCTTTTCTTCTCCACAGGATGCCACCACTTACCTCGAACCTGACTCCGGGTGCTGGGGGGAGATGGCGAGAGGCCTGGGTCTTCTGTTCATGTGTTCCAGAGCAGTCATAGTCAGGTGCCGACTGCACTGACGTCAAAGGGAGCTTGTCAGGGCTGGTCCTCTGTTTACCAGCCTCCTGATGGGAAGCCGCTCCTGGGATGGATGTCCCCTTAGGCCATCATTTCTGAGGGCGCCAGGCTGCTTATGGAGCAGTCCCAGGCTCGTGTTTGTGGCCTTGAGGCTCACTCACGCTGTGTTTTCGCATGTGTATATTAAGTTGGGATTTTTTTTTTTTAATCTTTGAGAACATCTTTTAAACATATTATTTTCAAGATTATGTCTCCCATTACAACTGTCTGGTTTATTTAATTTCCTACTCACGAGAAATCTACAACTATTACCCCACACATACCTCACCACTCTGATACATGCACTAGCACAGTGTCACACAGCAGACACACCAGACATGCCACACATCCTCAACACATGCCACGTCACATACCCACAGACTCACCAAACCCATGCTCACGAGCCCACATGCCGCACAGATTCACACTCACACACCGTGCACACACTCCTTTCCAGAGTCAGCCTCTGGCTCCCTTGTCTCGGAGCACACAGGGTAGCTGGCTTTGCTCTGCGGGTGGTCCTTCACAGCGTGCTCTTCCTGTCAGCAGATGCTAAGTGTCCGCCCTCAGTACCGCTGTGTGCTCACCTGAGAAACAGCACTTTGCAACCGTATGTGGCCCAGGTGATTGAAACTGTCAAGGCTGGATAGTGCCCGGTAATGTCTGCCTAGAAGGACGACAGCTACCTGTCAGGTTTTCCATTTTAGAACGTCTGCTCTCAGGACAGCCCCCCACCCCACCCCAGGTCCCCTGCTCCAGCACTATGTCTGTGGAGACCTGGGCTCTGGAGTGCTTTCCACCACGCCTGTGTTCTTTGCACCAAGCCATTTTAGAAAACGGCCTCCACCGGCCAGCAGGGTAGAGGAACACGTGCTGCAGATGGCTCGAAGGCTGAGCCGTGCTCCAGATCCTCCTGCTTCTGGCACGCAGCACCTGCTCTGGGACTCCATCCCTGTGAGCCGGCCACAGGGCCCTGGGACCTGGTTCAGGACTGGACCAGTGTGCTGTAGCCTGGGACTGTCCCTTACCCTGGCGAGGAAGATACAGAGCTGCCTGGAACTTAGGGTCGCAGAAGTCCAGTTCTGGGATGCTTCTGTGTCCCTGCTAAGTAACGTGACTCCTCCCCTCCACTTCATGTGTTTCTTTTTGGCAGTTTACAGTTTTATTGAAGTAGAATTTACATGTCATACATTTTAAGCACTCGAGGCAATGATTTTCAGTAGATGTACAGAGTTAGGCAAGCATTACTGTACTCCAGTTTTAGAGTGTTTCTGTCCGCTCACCAAGACCCCTTTGCCCTTTGCAGTTAACCCCTGTTGGGCCCACCACCAGCCCCTGCCAGCCACAGATCTGCTTTTGTCTTTTTCTCGGGTCTTCACAAAAAACGGCATCACATGGCTGTGGAGTCTTCTGACTCCCAAATAATGCATGTCTGAGGCTGTCCTAGCGCCTAGTGGGCGGAGAGGGCGTGGAGTGACCTCCAGATTCTACAAACATTGGAAGCAATGTAAATCATATTTAATAACTCTGGAGTGGGCAAACAGTGTATATTTGGCTATGAAATGAGGTCCATGTTTACAAAGCTCCTTGGTCCCTTCCTCCACTCGTTCTGTAATTCAGTAGCAGAAGTTGATACAGCTCCTGCCCTGCCCTCCTCGCACGGGGACACTTCCGTCATTGATGCCATCCGGAGTGGCCCAGGGAAAAGCTCAGACATAAAAGCTGGAATGGGCTTATGTGATCTCCTCCCCAGGACATAATGGGAAGTCTGTTTCCAGCTTACCCAAGCCTGGAGCGTGCTCTTCAGTGGAAAGGCATCCTTGAATCCAGGCACTCTGTGCTCAGGGTAAACCCATCAGGTCTTGTAACTATTCTTGATCTAGAGTCTGAGCAAGTAAAGATGGCCTTCCACCACGTATGTCTGGATAGCCAAATGTTTTCCCAGTTTTTAACCTAAAGAAAAATACCTGCACCACCTCTCCACCCGTCACACAGCTTTCAGTGTTTTAAACACTGCATCCGTTTTATCAACTGCTCTGAGATGTTTCACACTCTTTACAGTTGCCTTGTTATTTGGATGCCCAGGATGCTCAAGCAAGGGGAACTTCACACAAATCCCCAAGAAAAAGTCTTATTCAGCACATCCTGAATCTGCATTTGAGTTTAAAAAGACAGTGAGTCTTCCGTGGAGCTGCTTTTGAAAAGACTTTGCAAAATTACAAATAAAAGTATTTTTTAAATGCAGTTTTTTTCTGGGCAAGTTCGACAGCAGTTCCAGAGGTGGGCTGAGCTGGAAAGACAGCTGTGTATTTGGGGCCATCTCACTCAGCCTCCATTTCAGTCACCAGCGGTGTCTGTCCCCCGCGTAGGCATCTTCAAGAGCACCTGCTACATCGATGTGCGCTGGTTCCCCTTCGACGTGCAGCAGTGCAAGCTGAAGTTTGGGTCCTGGTCTTACGGCGGGTGGTCCTTGGACCTCCAGATGCAGGAGGCGGACATCAGCAGCTACATCCCCAATGGAGAGTGGGACCTTGTGGGTGAGTCCAGACCAGCACCAGACTCGCTTCTGGGATGAGCTTCAGCTGGTGCGAGGTTTTTTCCTACTGTGAGCATTCACTGAACTCGGCAGTGCTTACCATCCTCTGCGCTTTCCTAAAGAGAAACAAAACCAGGTAGGAAATGGGACCCTTTGCCGGGGAAACCGGAAATACAGCAGGGTTACCTTTACATAATAAGCCCGTGTCCACGGAGGCTTCCTGCATGCTTCAAACCCTCACCACCTCTGAAACAGGGTCGGAGAGCAAATTCGGTGGATGGCATGAAGAAAGACAATCACAGACGAAGCTGAAGTAAAGTAAAAATGGCCCAAAACAGACTTGCCAGTTAGGAAACACACTTTAAGATAGTGCTGTCTCCAGGGGCTTTGTGACAAGACGTGGGTAGTTGGTTTAGTACTTAAGTAGGACTGAAGTAAGTCAAGGTTGGAAAGTGGTACAAACCAGGCTGGCCACAAATTTCAGAAGCCATTCTAGTGCCCAGCTCAAGAGAAAGACTGGTGATCCTGGCATTTCTTAAACCTTTCAAGGAATTGTTAGAGTCTGAAATTATTTCTTCTAGCAGATTTCGTTCCCCACATGATATCTGAGTGGCAGTCTGCCTCCTGGCTGCAAGTCTCTAAGGCTCACAAAGGGACTTTACATTTGCTGTCTCTCTCTCTCTCTCTGCCATTCTGCAGTCATTTTGACTCACCAACCTGTATTTCATTATTTCAAGTGGAAAGATGATATAACTATAAGTCACTTACAGTCAGGTGTGCATTCTGAAAACACGGTATCGTTGTGTGAATGCCGTAGGGTGTGTACTTACGAAAACCTAAGCCAGTTAGGCAGTGCCTGGGGGACTTCATTTTATGGTCCTGACACCATGTATTTGTTTCATCTCTGACAGAAGCATTGCTTTGCAGCCCATGACTGTGCTTACCTTTATAATGCTGTGAAGTTGACAAGGTGGTGTTTATAATCGTGTATTTCCAACCTGTCAAAAAGTACCTGACAGGTGTCACTGAGACACCTTTAAACAGTGGCATCACGAGCCTGCAAGGCTTTGTTCAAACATTACTCGGTCTTTTAGAGCTCGGTGAACTCTGGGGCTGTCCTTGTGTGTGGTGTACACACTGAAGCACACGGCGAAGTTGTGTGTGCTGAAAGTGGCTCTTTCCCACCGTCGCCCATGCAGGGATCCCTGGCAAGCGGAGCGAGAAGTTCTACGAGTGCTGCAAAGAGCCGTACCCCGACGTCACGTACACGGTGACCATGCGCCGCAGGACGCTGTACTACGGGCTCAACCTGCTCATCCCTTGTGTGCTCATCTCAGCGCTGGCCCTGCTGGTGTTTTTACTCCCAGCAGACTCCGGGGAGAAGATTTCTCTCGGCAAGTGCCTGGGTCTTTGGCAGGACTTGGAGACCGGAGGCCCTTCCTGAGATTAGCTCTGCAGGTCACTGTCACCCGTGCACCATTAGATCAGGAACCCAGGGCCGGCCTGCCTGGCTCATACACACCGACCTTTCGGCACAGGCAGCTTCAGGGCTCCAGAGGCTGCTGGTTCAGGCTCTGAGCTGCAGGGATGTAACCTGAGAGGGCTGCAGCTCCAGCTGCCCCAAGGGGCCTGTGTGTTTTGACCGCTGCCTCCCTGTTCCTTGGGGACACTTGATGAGCCTTCCTTGTGCACAGGGAGCAGCTTTTAGCTCCTCCTCAACTTGCCGTTGTGTATCACCATGTACAACATAATCCCTTTCCATCGCCCACAGTTGAAAGAAAAGTAGGATTTTGAATAGTAAAATGACTTTATCAGCATCTCAGAGAATTACTGAAAGACATGTTTTTAGTTTGTCATGAAAACCATTCCCAAGCTGGTTCTGTTCTGCACAGGATGTTAACATGCCCCGGGTTGTACAGCTACTAAGTAACTGCCTCAAGTCCTGAAACCAGGTGTTCTGACCACGTGGTTTTTTTCTGTAATAATGCAATAAGGAATTTAAGGGACCAGGTGCTGTGTTAAATCTTCCAAAGCTCTGCTTCCTGTACCTGTGTCCACCAGAGATGCCTTACTAAGTGCAGGAAATGCCTCTGGATCAACGCACAAACCCAAAGAATCAGAAACCTCACATCCCCCAAGTGCCTCCAGAGTTCTCGAGAAGTCCCCATTAGCTGGAAGTTAGGCCTTGTGTTTGTCTTGCCTGAGGGACATGTGTCTGTCTGTGTTCTAGGAATCACAGTCCTCCTGTCCCTCACGGTGTTCATGCTGCTCGTGGCTGAGATCATGCCTGCGACGTCTGACTCAGTACCGCTGATAGGTAAGGCGAGAGTCGGGCTCCTTTCTCAAAGATACAAGGTTAGAGAGCGCTGGAACTTCCAGGGCAGAGGAAAGAGGAAAAACACGTTCTCCAGGGCCACAGAGAGCAATATTCCCTTCCATTTCCTGTCTCAAGGAGGTTACTTGAGGTGACCATTCAGAGGGACCCACGTCCTCTTCTTGCCTGGGCCCACGTAGGAGGGAGGGGGCATCCAGCTTTGTGGTTGGCTTTAAATTATAGAACCGGGTGGGAGGAGCAGTGTCTAATGTAGTCTCAGTGCTTGGGAGGCTGAGGCAGAGCACCTGAGCCTCGGGCAGTGGCGGGGAGCCTACAACACGCGGGTTACTCGTTTTTATTTTAAGAAAAAAGATGTTAACGTGTCAGTTGTTTTTCTCTATACTATAACCCCAGTGTCGAGGTTTAATTGCAGTGTTGGCACTTTGCGATAGGTGAGTTTGGGGTTGCAGTTTGGGCACTGGGCTCTGAAGAGTCTCCATCACTGCCTTAGGCGTTCAAGACCAGCCAGGGAAACCCAGCGAGATGCCATCCCTGTCCTGAGACCAACTGCAGAAGTGGCTCCTCCTCCCATAATTCTCTCATTCATCCTGGCTTTGCAAAGATTTTATGATTATCAGCTAATAATTTTAATTCAGAGATTTTTTTCCCTCATAAACCTTCTGTTAAAATGGGATAAGCATGTACTTTATCTTTTAGCTATTGGGTCCCGAGATATTTTTTAAGTGTTTGGAGACATATAAATGCAACAAATGCCTTTGGTCCTGGACAGATATAAGGCATAACCTTCTACCAGAGAGGGATCACAGGAGACAGCATCACTCACCGCTTTGTGTCCTCCTGGATAGGAACACAGGGTCATGCAGAAGGGTGCTGGGTCTGGCGGTTAGGGCTGGCTGCTTACCCTATTGCAGCGGGCATTCCCTTCCTGGTCATGAAAGCAAGATCCCAGGCCAGGTGTTTGGGTGGGAAGTACCCTGTCAGTGGCCATTTGGTCTAATGGCATCACCATGCTCCTTTGGTGGTGTAAAGTCAGGTCGTTTGGACTCTGGGCCACTCCTTTCCACCAGGAAGTGAGCGGTGAGCTGTAGGCCTGGCCCGGCCAGCAGGAAGTGGACCAGCATAACCACACTCCATGAGCTAGGTCCAGATGCACTAGCGCCCTGAGGTTTGGTGCCACCAAAGCCTGGTCTCATGCTCTCTTTGCAGCCCAGTACTTTGCCAGCACTATGATCATCGTGGGCCTCTCAGTTGTGGTGACAGTGATCGTGCTGCAGTACCACCATCACGACCCCGACGGAGGCAAGATGCCCAAGTGGGTACGTTCTTCCCATATTCAGAGGGGCGTTGTCACGTGGTTTGTCTGTTTTAAAAACATACAAAAACTGCCACTCTGAAACAGATGGCATGGTTTTTCATAGGACTTTACCTCTTGCCATACCTTTGCAGAGAGTATAGTTACGGAGAATTTACTCGTTGGTTCTCCGTGGCAGTGTTTGCATCTGACCTTCCAGCTCACAGCTCACACACCAGCTGCTGTGTATATTTTACTAGCGTAGTGTTTTTTAAAACCATTCCTTTGCACGCACTGTAGAGGACTGTGCGGCAGTGGGAAGGAAGGGATGAGGTCAATGCATAATGCAGGATTGGAGCCTCACAGCAAAATGAGGAGCAGGAAGACTGAGGAGCAGACTGAGCTAGAAACAGAGCAGTCCCTCAGTGTCTGCATGGCATTGGCTCCAGGATCCCCTGCAGATACCAAGTCTGCAGGTGCCCTTGCTCCACAGATAAAGTAGTGTAGCATTAGCACCGATCCTGTGCATATCCCGCTGTGTACTTTAAATCACCTCCTGATAGCTTGTAGTACCTCACACAATGGAAGTGCTGTGTAAATAGTCGTTATGTTCTGTTGTTAGGAAATAATGCAAAAACTAACTGTAGTTCCTCAGTACAAATGTAGGTCATTTTCCTTGAATATTTTTCAGTCTATGGGGGGTTGAATCCATGGATGGCAACCTGAGGATGCAGAGGCCAGGTGTGTAAACATTCAGTGCACACGGGAGTGTGATCTCACCCAAAGCCCGAACTACGAAGATGGATAGGCACTGATGAGGAAGGGCAAAGGGGTATGAGGGGAAGGGTGGTACAGTATAGGCCGGGTCCCCCATCCTGTGATTCAGCAGGAGCCATGCTTCACCTTAGCCGTAGCAGACTCCGCCCTGCCCGCTGGTGTTCACCCACCCATCCCATTTCCTCCTGTGGGACTCTGTCACAAGCTCTGTGTCCACCCGTGAGTAACGGTCAGGGGACTGAGGATGGAGCCATTCCTGGACTTTGCCCATCTCATCTGGATAAAACCCAGGCAGGAGAGACTTGCCTCACCTCTCTACAAACCTCCCAGGTCTTCCTGTTCAGCCTGGTAGTCTCAGGATGGAAAGAGCCCTCCTTCCCATCCTGTAAAGATCTGTCTTTGGAGACCCATTAGATTACATCCGAGCCCAGAAGGGATCACCAACATGCTAAGTACAGAATAAGGAGCAAGGCGCATTGAAAAGCCCTCCGGGAACAGAGGGTTTCTGAGCCTTCTGAAAACACCCATTATGCAGTATTTTACAGCATGCAAAAGTTAATGGAGGAGATCACTTTAAAAGTTAGCTTTACAGGTTTACTGTTTCCCTTCAGAGTTTTTCCACAGCAGCCCCCCCCCACATACATACATATAAAATAACTGGCCTAGAGCCCCTGGCACCAGCAGTGGGGTATGCTCAGCCTGAATAGTGATGGCTGCACACACACAGCATCACTGTCGTCCCTGACGCTTGCCCTGACAAGTCCCAGACCCCTGAAAAAACCTGTGGTGCATCTGCACAGCTCATTTACATTCATGCGTGAGGATTTCTAACCTTGATGCACTTGGGCACAATGCCAGGCCAGGTGTGCGAACCAATGCCTTTCCCATTTGCAAGTGTTTACCCATCTCTGCATTCGAAACAGATCATATGCTTACCTGTTTCTAAAGCCAAAGGCAATCTGGCTCCAGCTCCCACCCTCACTCTGCTTTGATCCCCAATATTGATGACCGTTCCAGGAAATTTCCTTCTTAAACACTTCCTTGAAGTATTTTGACTGATACAAAGATAAGGTAATTAAATCATGCAAAACCATTTTTAACAGCCTTGCTAATAGGTCACTTCTCAGAGTAGAAGCTTGTTAAGTGTGTCTCTCCTGTTTTATACAGCACGGCGCATTTTTCTTTCATTTCGTGTGTATTTGAAACATAAACAGCCTCCAAGGGACTTTCATTGTGCTCCGTGGTGGTGAAGACACTGACCAGTGCAGTGGCATTATGTGACATTTGCACAGCCAGGAACAAAACCATACTCCAACAGGAGAGGTCACAGCACAGTTTGTGATAAGTGCCAAAAGGATAATTTCATCTTTCGAGATGCTTTGGCCTTGAAAGCTAATGATTCGGGCCACGGAATTCAAAATGGACTTGGCCAAGTGGACTGTGGGAGCTGGAGGGACAGCTGGGGCCCATGCAGAGCCGGCCACTGGGGGAAGGCGCCCAGCCCGGCTCAGCCTTTTGCACAGCTGTTTCCAGGTCCAGACTCACTCCCTGTCCCACGCCTTCCCCAGGATCTGGGGTGGACTTCCTGGTGTCTTTGGAGAGAGCTTAGGGCTCAGTCACAGGAGCTTTGAAAGGAACCAGTAGATAGACAAAGCTGCAAACATCTGAACATGTAAGGGACTTCACTCCTGGGTCATCGTGTGACCTTATCTTAGCCTTATCTTAGGCCAATGTCTTAGCCTCTTGGGGGATCAGTTTACTTGCCTGTAAAATGGAATTATTCTCACTTCATAGAACCCTGAATGGCCCCTGTGAGAACACGTGTCTCATGAAGTCCAGACCCATTAGCTGGCCGCATGGCACTGCTTTTCACTGATTCTGAAAGCCCCTTTGGAGGGAGAGTTGCCTGCAGGGAGCACATACCATGAAACAAAGGGCGATGGTCTCCGCAGCTGCTGGGAAGCGGGTCTTAGGAGTCTGCCTTGTTCTTTTCCCTCCCTGTCTACAGACCTGCTGGCTTCAGTTATCTTTGATATGATGTCATGAAAGTGATTCCTGAGAAAGCCCGCAGACATGAATTTCACCCTACAGGCTTATCTCTCCCTACAGGTGGGAAATATCCCTGCTAGGTGGTTGATGGCATTTGCCGTAATTGTAAAATAAAATGACATTGAAATCAGTATCTGGGTGATTTCAGGGAAAGGGCTCACTTCACACACATTTATGTGGATAGGCTGGATTGGCTGGAAGGGTTTGGTTTTTTGTCCAAGCAGAAGTTTGGACTATCTCTTCTTTCTATGAAGGCAAAAATATTACCCAGGGTGATTTTTCACAAGCTTCTTCATGCATGCAGGCACTATAAATTTACACTTGATCTTCCCCAAAAGGCCGAGAAGCAACAATGTAAGTTTGTAAAATACTTTAGAGCAGAGATTGACAATCCGTGACCCTGGTGGCCAAATGTGTCCACTGTGTTTGTACATAAAATGTGATTAGGAAGCAGCCACCTACATGCTTTCTGTGAGTACTGCCCCAGAGTCTCTATGGCCTAAAGAACTGAAATATTTGCTGTGGCGCTGTGTACAGAAAGTGTGCCAAGCCTGCTTCTGACTTGGCCAAGCACTTTCAGGACGTTGTGATCCTTGGACCTTGTTGCAGCCTGGTGATTGGGTCAGAGGTGCTGAGACTGCCATAGATCCCAGCACATTTGTGTCTCGAGTTTTTCCACAGAGCTCCGAGACCTAAAGAAATAGTAGTGAAAGGTCTCTGAGGTCCGTAGGTTAAAACAACTTCATAAATATTCATGCCTTGGCACCTGCATGGCACCTCCGCCTTCTCCCCTGCAGGGCAGTTTTCTTCCTGCCCTGTGGAAATTTCATCTCATTCTTGGGACACTAAACATGCAGAGGTTATATGCTCACATCACGTTTGACCCAACTGTTGTTAAGGATTTGGCATTGACTGTGCACAGTTAGGGTGGAGGCCGTGGAGCCCGTCAGCCCTGCATGACTGATGTCTGCTCTGGGCCGCTCTGAACTTTCTGTTCTCTCCCTAGACCAGAGTCATCCTACTGAACTGGTGTGCATGGTTCCTGCGCATGAAGCGGCCAGGGGAGGACAAGGTGCGGCCCGCCTGCCAGCACAAGCAGCGCCGCTGCAGCCTGGCCAGCATGGAGCTGAGTGCGGGGCCCGCCCCTCCTGCCAGCAACGGCAACCTGCTGTACATCGGCTTCCGAGGCCTGGAGGGCGTGCACTGCGCCCCCACCCCGGACTCGGGGGTCGTGTGCGGCCGCATGGCCTGTTCCCCCACGCATGACGAGCACCTGCTGCACGCGGGGCAGCATCCCGAGGGGGACCCGGACCTCGCCAAGATCCTGGAGGAGGTGCGCTACATCGCCAGCCGCTTCCGCTACCAGGACGAGAGCGAGGCCGTGTGCAGCGAGTGGAAATTCGCGGCCTGCGTGGTGGACCGCCTGTGCCTCATGGCCTTCTCGGTCTTCACCATCATCTGCACCATCGGCATCCTCATGTCCGCACCCAACTTCGTGGAGGCTGTGTCTAAAGACTTCGCGTGATGTCAGCCGGCCTGCACGTGTAGGAAACACAGAGTCAGGCAGAGTCGGGGGGTGGGTGAGAATTTGGGGAGCTGCCCCAGAAGCACCGTTCATGGGATGACCCCGTGTATCCTTAGACTGACCGTCCTGATGGTTGCAGTTCATAACAGGATCTGAGCACCTTTCTCTTGAGTCCCAGTGTGGCACAGCCTTACCGGTGGCGGAGCTGGTTAACGGCCATTTCGCCCACTGATTACTCCCTAGATAGCCCTGCAGGAGGGTTTCTGTAGCTCTAGACTGCCACAGGAGGCCTGCGTCATGGTTCTGCATGCCTGCATGTCACTTGCCGGTAAGGCCCACCTGGAAACACAGTGTATGTCATTTGCCTGTGTACAAATCTAGCTCGAAACAAATAATAAACCACACTCACTTGCTCCATTCCAACAGTGGACTTGGAAAAGAACACCAAAAGAACTAAAAGCTCACCTGTTGGTTTTTCTGCAATTCAGCTTTTTCTCTCCTCTATCTTGGATAGCTGGTAGAGAAAACAGTTTTATTGTCATTCCTATAGGAGAGAATTGGTCATTCTGCAAACTTACACATAGCGAGTTTGTGTCAGTTCAAAACCAGAAGCAGCCCCAGCTGTCTGTGTATGTGTGGGGTGTGAGTGTGTCCCCTGTAGGTCCCAGATAGCTCCCCACTTTCCTGTATTGTCCCAGACATGGAGGAGTTAAGCAAATCTGTTGTATTCTGAAAAGGACAAAGAGAGATCTACGAGAACTACCAGGCGAGGGAAATGACAGAAGTTAACTTCAACCATCCAAATGTTTTTAGACAAGCGTGCAGTACTTGCTTCACGTGGATTAGGGATGATTAGTCTTAGAAATGTGCACATCCATGTACGTGCACACCATAAGGCGACCATGTTCTCTGGCTTTTTCTCCATGTGAAGCCAAGGGCAGAAGCCAGAACCTCTAGGGCCCCAGCACGGCAGGCACTGGGAGGGCTGGTGCGGCGGATGGCTTTGCTAAACACAGGGAGACCTTCCGAGGCTGCACAGCCACGTCCCTGCTTTGTGGCTTTTCTCTCTGCTCCTGACTTGTTCACCCCAGCAGCAGCCAAGGAAGCTGGCTTGGCTTCATTGCAGAGGTTTAATCGTAAAATCTAGCAGGTGACGCGGTGCTCCACTGAGGTTCTCTAGATGATGACAGTCATTCTGCCTCTTTCCATTCTTACTTTTAATGAGACCAGAGAGTAGTGCACCAGTCTCCAGCTTTGAGGCCACAAAGCTGCACAAGGCTTCTAAGCTCCTGGAGTCCCTTAGTCTGTGCCCAACCCCTGAGATGGGCTCATCGTGAGGGAAGCTTAGGTTTTCCAGAGCAAAGAAGCACACTTGTATCCATTTCCCAGCCTTCATGTCACTCTTTTCTGGGTAATGCACACGAACGTGTTTGTGCTGGAGCAAGGTGAAGGGTCATATGTGCTCTGTGTGTAGCATGTGTGCATGCATGTGCACACGTGCCTGTGTGTGCAATTCAGGAGCATGGGTGTGGCTTACACCAGGGAGGCTGATAAAGCAGGAGATGGTGGCACTGAGCCTGTGGTGTGGGGCCACCTGCAGAGCCCACCCACTCCACGTGGAGTAGACAAGTGACACACAATATTTCCTGGGTTTGTTTTTTCTTTCTATTGCAAAGTATCTTTAAAAACAAAAAGAAAAGTTTTGATATACAAAGAGATTGCTTCATTTCTTATTGTTACCCAAAATTGTTCTCTACCACAGTTTTGCTTTAAGAGAGAATCCACTTTTTTGGTTTTGTATTTTATATGGAAAAGCATAAAAGGCAAATAAACGTAGCTCATGGTTTGACCCTCCAAGTAACTATCATGTGATTCATAAAAATAATAAGGAAGAGCTGTGCATATAGTTAGAAAAGTGGGAATGTTACTGTCGCCTCCCTGGCTCTCCTTTCTGTCTCCCCACAGGGCCCTGCTAATGAGTTTGGGGAGCATTTCCAGAAGGAAAAGAGGGGACTGAAGAGGAGACATAGAGAGAGATAGCTTCTCTAGAAATCATGCTATGTAGTGTTCTGCGCTAGTGTTTTGTTTGAGAATTCTTTCTGTAATAATGTATAAAGATCTACCTCGTTTCTCTTAATAGCTGCTTGGTATTCCATTGCCTCAGTGGGTTATAATTTATTGGATTAGTCTTTCATACATACAGAGATTTCCAGTTTTTACTTTTATATGCAAATCTATAATTAGCGTTCCTGTGCATAGATTTTAGCACACTTTTGTGACTGTGTCTTGGTAATTCCAGTTTAGAAACAGAATTGCTGGATATAAAGCTATGCATTTAAAATTTGATAAATATTGCTACATTATCCCCTGAAAATTAGTGCTACCCCACCAAAAGTTCAGTAAAAGAGCCAAATTCTCTGCTTTCTAGAGCTAAATATTTTCAAATTTGTCTTTCTAATCTGATTGCTGAAAAATACATTGCGATATTATTCTGGTTTTGGTTTGTTTTGCTATGAGTGAAACTGAACATCTTTTCACATTTGTTTGGCAGTTTCAATTTCTGTAAATTTATATCTTTTATACAGTTTGCAGTTGGGTTCTTTGGCTTTTCCTTAATTTATTTGCTTATGCACATTGAGGCCTTTCTGTCTTTCATCTCAAAATATTTTTATTTACCATTTGTCTTTTATTTATTGACTTGCTTGTTTATTGGCATATAGTAAGTTTAAAATTTATATACAATTTATCCATATTTTGCTCTGTAGATTCTGGAATTTATTTGTAGTTTTAAAAAGTCTTCCCCATTTTGAGATTATGAATAAATTTATTCATATTTTCTTCTAAGCTTTATGGTTTCATTTGTTTATTTTCATACCTTCTGACTTCCCGGGATTTATTTATTGCAAGAAATGAATTAAAAGTTTAATTTTATTCCTCTAATTAAATGTATAATACTTTTCTGTAATAAAATAATAATCTCCCCCACTTGTTCAAAATGCCCCCTTATTTGTAAACTAAGTTTCTTTAAGTATTTGGTTCTATTCTGTTCTGTTGATTTATGTCTTTCAGAATGCCTTTAATTTCTCGTGGTCTTTTGTGTTTTCAAGACAGGGTTTCACTGTGTAGTTCAGGTTGGTTTTGAACTCATTCTGTAGCCGAGACGCCCCTCGAATTCACAGTGATCCTCCTGCCTCAGCCTCGTAACTACTGGGATGACAGCGTGGTGTGCCCAGCTTCTTGTGGTTTATTTATGTCAGTGTTGGTACCCTCAACATGCACCTCAGCGCCCACCTCAACCTTTTCTAAGTCTCTCTTTCTCTCTGCTATGTTGCTTATTAATAAAGTAAAATAGGCATCCGGTGAACCCAGGTTAACTGAGTCTTTGTGTTCAGGACGCTGCAGTCTAGGCTGGTGTGCCCACGTGAGTTTGTGTCGCTGAGTGGAGTATTTTGGGTGTGTCCAGCAGGTCCAGTGAATTGCTTGTGTGTTGCCATTTGGCTCCCATTTTCAGTGGACTTCCTGCGTTTTGTTCTAAGTGTACATATGTGAATGTATTTGGGTTTTGTATATTAATGTCATAACCAAATACCAAAACTGTGCTTTCTTATTGTTTTTAAGATTTTTCTTGACTCCTTCCCAATATTCCCTTTATTTCTCTATTCTATTACATTTGAAAATATTAATAACAGTTCACGTGGCACACTTGTCTTGTTTTTAACATTAATGAGGTGTTTTGGTACTTGTGTGAAGACATGTATTTTCTTTGTCATAATAAAAATGTCTGTGTCCTCACAAACTTGCTGTTTTGTGGAATACTGAATGTGAGATTTCTGTCGGAGTCAGTATCCATGGAGATGATCCAGAACTTTATCCCTGTGCTCTGCTAGAATGTTTTATTCTGTTACTAGAATCCCTACAACTAAATTGTTATTATATTCCTGAGGTCATTCCTGCTTGGCCTTATGATTGTTCTCATACCATAATTAAGATGAATCGTTCCACAGCTTGCTTGTGTGTGCATCTGTGGATTCAACCAACAGCAAATGACAAATACTCAAAAAAAATTGCATCTGTACCGAACCTACACAGAATTTTTTCTTGTCATTATTCCCTAAACAATGAAGTCTAACAGCTCTATCGCATTTACATCATATTAGGCATTATAAATAAAGTGGCTTAACTTGGAGGACGTATGCAGATAGTATGCAAATGCTATGCCATTTTTATGGGGAACTTGAGTGTCTGCATATTTTAGTGTCCATGAGATGGTTTGAAAATCATCTACTTAATTTAGAAAGATCTGAGAGCTATTAGGTCATTTGTATTGTGCTTCTGAATTTATCCTATTAGGCAGAGGAGGTCCTTTAGCACATCTGGAATCAAATTTATTTACTTAGTTTTTAATATAAGATTAACTGCATTAATTGTTCAACATCAATTCTTGCTTTTGCAATGTAAGTGTTAGGGTTTTAACTCAGTATTTGTGGTGATTTCCCTTTTCATTTTAATTGCTGTGCCTAAGTCTCCTTTCTCCTGCGTTTACTGATGTTTTGAATACCGCATCCTTCTACTCAGTGGTCTGGAGATCCAGCCCCTGGGTCGTGTTGGCCCCTGAGCTGACCCAGGCTTCCCTGTGATGGCAGAAGTCAGGATGGTGCGGGCAACAGAGTGCAGAGCTGGCACCACCATGCTCTGGCCCCGCTCCAGGGCTGGAGATCCAGAGGGGCAAACCAGGCATGTCAGCAGAGCGACCTGGGAGATGTAGCTGGTCCTACCACTCACGGTGACCATGCTTGGCTGGAAAACAGACCGACAGAAAATTCACGCAAAGCCCTCTAGAGATGCAGGCTTCACGAAGAAGCCTCACATAATTTCTTCCATGACTTAACTTGCATTCCCTTTCCCTTTCCAGTACCGCACAGCCATTCCTCCTCTTCCCTAGGTCTTGCTATAAGAGTGTTGCCTACTTCCCCACAGCTGGCTCCTTTTCTAATGGCTGTTTATTTCTCTTTGCCTAAGTTTGCCTTTCTAATAAGTGTACATTGAGTTGGGGAAAGGACCCCAAAGTCTTTGCTTTCCTTTTCATTTTGCTTCCGTTTTCTCTATATATTTAATAGATAACAGATTTCATTTCTGTTTAAATCTTTACCTTGAATCCTGCTTCCAAACCAGGCCCACCAGTTTCCTTTTCCGGGAAGACGCCTGGAAGGTCCCTACCTGCTGCAGCATGCAAGAAACAAGCTGTGCCTCTTGTGAACCTCGCATAGCACTTCTGGGCTTCAGGTGTGCAGGGTTTGTCTGTGCCAACCAGTACTATGTGCCCGTATGACTGGGTTCATTTTTGCACCACTGCCCAGAGTTAGGGCAGGCTCCCAGGGGGAAGGGCTCAGTCCTGGACACAGCCTTCTGTCTCCTTTCATAGCACACTGGTGCTGGGCGTGGTGGCAAAAAGACACAGGAATTCCAGCTACTCAGACTAGTTCAGGGTCAGCCTATCTCAAAATTGAAAACTCTGGAGATACATCGCATTGTTCTCTGGGTTCACTCCCTAGTACCACAAAAAATTTTAAAAATGAAAAAGTAGCTAAATGGTGGTCCCAGCTATGCACAGCTCCATCAGACTTGGCTTGGTCATTTGCTAGACCAGTTCATAAAACTCAGGGAAACACTTGACTTAGGGTCACAGACATACTTTGTGTAATTCTGAGTTGCATTCCTGCAAAAAGGGCCTTAATGAATTTGTTGATAAGGGAAGAATAGTATAGAATATGTACATTCCAATATTCAGAACAAAGAAATAGTCAAAGGAATCACCAAGTTGAGGACTTCACTTTTATTTGTGTAAGTCTTACATGCAGTAAGTGTAACAACATAGAACTACAGTACCGTCCTGCACAGCACAATCAGCGAAAATTACAGGACTGTATAACCAGAGTGGACTGCACAGAAAGAGGTTGTGGAGGAATGAGGAATGCCTGTGCATTTTTTATTGAGCAACACAATTGCCAAAGGAAAGCAGTGTAGAGGTGAGGTGTGGAGCCAGGGCGGGCGTGTGGAGTTGCCACCCCTCTCTGGCTGCGGCACCCTGCCAGTACCGCAGCATGGCCGGTGACCCAGAAGCTCCCAGAACCTGCCCCTTAGGTATCTGGTGGAGGTTTAAGCCATAGGCATGGCTGATTATTAACTGAGTCTTACTCCCTTTCCTCTTGGAGGATATGAAAATGCCAAGCTTCTTCTCAGAGCTCAGTCCTTCTGCAGACCTGCCCCCACCCAGGGCACACCAGAAGCTGCCTCCTTAGAACCTAAAAAAAAAATATGCAGGTCGGGGGAGATGTGGAGCCCTGTGCCAAGAACAAGGTCAGTGACAAAATGTAGGAACAAAAGATTCTCCTGGCACCCTGGTTGCTCAGGGAATCACAAGGAGTTTTTAGAGCTTCGTGGGTTAAGAGACAGCGCTTATTCATACTTTTATTTTTACTGTTTAGGGCATGTTAGGTATAACTGGGATATGCACCTACATTTTTATAAAGGTGATACATTTGTTTTTAATATATTTTTAAATATATGTAATTGTTACTTTTGAACCCTGCTTTTAGTTTTCCTTTTTTTTTTTTCTTTTGGTGCATGTGGAAGATTTCCTATTTTTATATGTCTGAATGGTTACCTATACAATTTTGCATAACATGGTTGAACATATATTTCATGATTTATCAGCACGACAGTATCCGTTAATTTGTAGTTCTCATGTTGAACCCTAGTTTACTATGTTCTCTTTTTGTTTCTAGCTCTCCTGCATTTCTTTACATGACGTTGCATGATATCCTTTAATACTTACCAATTCAGAACAATATCTGGTG